GCCACCAGCTGCCCCCCAAAGCATCTGCTTCCAAAAAAGGTTTACAGATGGTCCAGTTCTCCTTTGCCTTATCCAGCTCCCGGGAGGGTGGATGACCTCAATGGATGGCAGTGTTTTCATTTTCATGTGCTCTCTCTTGATGGCAAAAAAGGCTAAGCCCTTGATGGCTCGTCCAAAGGTTGGCCAAGTCAGGTCCACCAAGAGGCACCAAGGAAGACAGGCCTGGTGGTCTCCTTTCAAAACGTCACAACCTGGAAAACCTCCGGAGCAGTCTCCCTCTGTCCCCTGGGGTAGTCGTCATTCAGAATTGACATGACAGCAATTAAATAATGACACTCTCCCCGCCCCACCACTTGGTTTCTGTCACTGTCAATCTCCCGCCTTCTCTCTGGGTCCCTCTCTGCCTGCATCTTGCTCTGTGTGACTATCTCTGTGGGTCTCTAAGCCCCCAAGACCTCTTCATGCCCTAGCCCTTCAGGGAAGCATGTAGCCCCCAGCCCCCGGCTGCAGCCGGTGTGTGTGTGTGTGTGTAAAGGTGTATGGAGGGATTATTTATATCTGTACCCAAGGGCAGGCGGGGCAGACACTAGGGCCTTTGTGTAGCCACTGCCCGCTGCCCGGCCGCCAGCCGCTCCTCTCCCTTCGTCCCTGCCGCCCGCCACCCTCCGCTCCGCCCCCCCCCCCACCGAAAGGTTCCTGGGGGGCTGCCAACTTCCTGCGCCCGAGGTGTGAGTGGGCACGCCACGGGTGAGGCGGGCTGGGGGCCGGGGCTTTTTCCAGCTTCAGGAAAGCTTTCCGGGTGGGGAGGGCTTTGGAAGGGATAAGATGTCTCTCCTGGGCTGCTGTCTGTCTGTCTGTCTGCGGTTCCTGGCTATCCCTGGGTCCTTAGCTGGCCTCTCCCTAGGGGTCTGTCCCTTCCACCTGAATTCCAGGGTATCTCTTCCTCTGTTGCCCGGGTCTTACTCATTCACATACACTCTTATTGGGATTCTGGCTGAGGCCCCTCTCTTAGGTCCAGGATGCAGACAAAATGATGCTCTCTGTCCCAGATAATTCTTGAAGCATTTGTTCCACCCACTGCTTGAAACTCCCCATTGTTCCTGTTAGCTCAAACCCCCAAGGCCTTATCAAGGAGCTTGGGTAGCTAATGGTAAAATTGCACAGCTGCTAACCTCAAAGTCAGTGGTTTGAACACACCCACCACTCAGCGAGAGCATCAGGATTCTCTCCCATGAAGGTTCCCAGCCTCAGATACTCCAGCAGCAGCCCCACTCTGTCCTCCAGGGCTGCTGGGAATCAGAGTGGATTTCAGGGCAGTGGGTTTAGGAATGGCCTACAAGGTCCTCTGATAGCCCCTCTTAGACCTCAGCTCCAATGGTCCTGCCCCAGTGCCCCCTGGCTGCTTCTGTAACAGAGCCACGTAGCCTCCTACCTTAGGGCCTTTGCACATGCTAGCCTCCTGATTTCTTTCCTCTCTCTTTTTTTAATTTTTTTTTTTATGTGTACCATCAAAATTGGATCTGACTGGTACAGGAGGAGATTGTCCCTCCTTCTCCAGCAGAGCATCTGGTGGATTCAAACCACATGCCTCTGGGATTGCAGTGCAGCTTCTTGCCACTAGGCCACCAGAGCTCCCTATCTTTCCTCTTTTTTCCTCACCTCCAATGTCAGCAAGTGCTCCCCACCTCCCTCCCTACTAGCTACCCCCCCATCACTCTCTAGCCTTCTAAGGCTTATTTTCCCCTTTCTACATATGATTTGCTGCTCCATGGCTTAGTGTAGTTTCTGGGTCTGGGCTGTATCTCCCACTTGAGAGTCAGGGCTCCAGAATGGTAGAGCCTCCAAAACTGGTCATGGGGTACAGGCTGAACAAACATTTCAGAGAGTGAAAGAACCCATTAACCTACTCATCCACTCAATGGGCAAGGAGACACTCCTGGGCGGTACTAATGATTAGCATGCTCAGCTGAAGAAAGGTGTGGCAATCTACTATTAAAACATCAGTCACTAATAAGCTTACAGAACACATGAGTCAGAATCTGATGGAACTGGGACAAAGTGATGCTGGGGACAGAGCAAGTGACCAAGACAGCTCCAGCCTCTCTTGCCATCACAAGTCCACTTTCCAGTCCCAAAGAGTAATGACTCCAAGGGTGCATCACTAGAATGGGGGGAACGCAAGGTGAGTGGGTGTAGGAGTCCAGAAAAGGCATCTGAAGCAGCCTGGAAGTCAGGGAGGGCTTCCTGGAGGAGGTAGTCACTGAGCTGAGACTTGGCAGATGAAGGGACGAGCCAGGCCCTGTCTCCTGGATGCTGTGAACTCTGTGACCTGACAGTCTCAGCCTGAGATTTTTGAATCTGAAGATTTCTTTCAATTCTCCAGTGCACATCCATGCCTTCCTCTGATTTCAGTAACTGTCTCCGACACATGCTCTTTGAATTACTGTTACAGTGAGTGTATCGGTTTGATGAATTTCTGCTCTTTAACCATGCTGTCTTCAGTTTACCTAGTGTCAATTTTGACTCCAGGAGACCCCATGTGCACCGTTCAGAGGACGGGGGTGTTTTAGAGCAGATCACTAGGCCTGTCTTCTGGGGTACCCATAGAGCAGATCACTAGGCCTGTCTTCTGGGGTACCCCAGCATGGGGTCTACCCACTGCCAACCTCTTGGTTAGTGATTGAGCTTTGAGTGTCTAACCATTTCTGTCCCCCAGGGCTTTGTGTGTGTCTTATCCTCCTCTCCTCTCTCTGCAGGTCTCCACTATTGGTTTCACCTGCACCACTGCGCCTCCCTCCACCTATCTGGCTAGTCCTCTGTCTCATTCTCTTTCCTGACCCTCTGCCTCATCTCCTTGCAGCTCAGGGATGTCTCCCCACCTTTGCCTGGTTCTCTCTCTGCTCCTTCTCTTTCTCCAGGCCTCTCTACCTAACTGCAGATCATCAAATAATTGCAGAAGCCCCTCTATTCTGGCTCCATCCCAGCCCTGGGGGTGAGGGGGGCCCAGTCAGCCCCTCACACCCACACAGGTCAGTCCTTCTGCTGGGTTAATGGTTAACTCAACCTCTATCTAGAATACACACCGGCCAGGCTAGGGGTGACTCCCCTGTTAACCCCCCTCCTGCCACCCACCTACCAGCTGTTCTTAAAGGACCAGGTGTCCTACTCAGCTCTCTAACCCTTACTGGGGCATTGGGACCTGGTGTCTGCAGGCCTCTAGCCCTGAGGATTTGGAACAAAGGTGATACTGGGTCTTTGGGTGGCCGAGCTGGGCCAGCAGAGGCTGGGAGGTGAGCCCAGGTATGGTGCTCCAGCGTCTACCTTGCGCCAGGCTTATCACCGGAGTGTATTTAATCAGGGGTGGTTTTCCCAGCCCTGCCCACAGCCCAGGCTGGCAGTGCTAGGGGTGATCAGACACCTGAGACCTGGTGGCTAGAACCCCTGGGCTCAAGTATTTGAACCCTCTCTCTAGATTTGGAGGAGGAAACCCCAGGGATCCTGATGCTAAGAAGGAGCTGTGTGACGGCAGCTGCCAGGTGTGGGGCACCAGGATGGGCCAAGTCCTTCTGGTCTTCCAGACCAAGGTCCTCTAGCAGTGGGGGTGCTAAAATTTGGGGGCCACCGTGAGTCTGTGACTGCTGCCAAGCCAGCGGAAGATGTGATCAATGCCCACCTCCCAGTTCACCCACTGCCTTTCTGGAATCTTCCCGTCAAGGTCCCTGGGGAAGCTGACTGGGTGGGGGCTGGGCCCCAGGAGCCGCCCTCTGGCCTTAACCCCTGAAGAGCTTGGCTGTTGATAGGAAAGTCGTGGGTTTGAACCCGCCAGCTGTACTTCGGGACGGAGATAAGGCAACGTGCTTCATTCAGCAGGTTAGAGCTTAAGGACACCTGGGGGGTGGGGGGGGGAGAAGATCTACCGGGCGGCTTCTAGGGTCGCTGCGCGAAGCCACTGGCGAGCCGCGGTCGGTTCGAGCCCCGCCCCGTGACGCCAGCGTGCAGGAAGTCCTGGTTAATCATCAGCCCACCTAGACAGGTGCGGGAGAAGGCCGCGCACATCAGAGGAGGCCGCTGGGGGCGGGAAGGAGGCGTCCTTCCCATGGTGGCCACCGATGGCGCTGTATCCCCAACCCCCCCAGCTGCAGAGCCCAGTTCAAATCTGCCACCAGAGGTGAGGCCAGACTACCTTGTTTCCAAAAAATCAGCTCACTCTGTGGAAGTAAATTTCCCTTTTCCTCAGGCAGCCCCTCTAACAGTCTAACTTCAGTTCTCTTCCAGTCCTAGTCGGCCCTTTTTCTTGTCCCTATTGCACAGCTCTGGTGACTTAGTTAGTGGTTAGGAACTGTGCTACTATCATCAAGGTAGCCGGTTCAAATCCACCAGAAGCGCCACAAGATAAGGAATGGCAATCTCCCATGCAATCAACTGCCTCTGAAAACTTGCTGGTGGTTCGGATTCAACGGCATATAACGACAGAGGAAGACCCTCAAATGAGATGGGTATACACAGTGACTGTAGCAATGGGTTCAAGTGTGAGGACAGCACAGGAAAGGTCAGGGATCGCTGAGTCCTACTCGACTTGATGGCATCTAACACCAACAACATAGGATCCGAGTCCTCCACATCCTGGATGTAGTCGGGTGCCCTGGAATTGAGTAGGACTCAGCGACCTTATGAACAGCAGTCCTGAATCCTGTGCCATCCTCACAACCTCTGACACCCTCGGACCTGGGTACACACAAGGGATGGTCAGGATACATAAAGGAAACATATTTCCCAGCTTGGCTGTGGCCATCCCTCCTCAGAGCCTCACTTTTGTCACCTGGAAAACGGATGGCCTGCTGGAGCTGCGGACCTGAGCCAGCATTTGTTCCCCAAGTCGGCCGGCCGCCTGGGTGAAGGGCGCCACCTGGAGGCAGCAGATCCACCTCCTCTACCTGCGGGATTAGTTGTCCGTAAGGGCGAGCTCAGACAATTGAGTGACCAAGAAGGGGAGAGAGAGAGGAAAAAAAAAAAATCTTTCGGTTTATTCAAGGAGTTTAAGGGGGCGGGGAGGGAGGAGGGGGAGGGACGCAATAAAATACCTTTGCTTCGTTTATAAAGAGCAAGATTTTGGGAGATCCTTTCTGAAGGAAGAGGGGACACCTCTTCCCCAACTACAAGCAGCAGAAAAGCCAAGCCAGGGAGCACAGAGGGACAGTAGAGGGGCCCGGGGAGTCCGGTCACCCTCTCCGATAGGAGCCATAAGCTTTCTCCCCCCACCCCCACCCCCAATGCATCTACCCCAGGGAACCCGTCTGGGCTGAGGAAGTGGGTATGTACATGGGTGGGGGTGGCACTGGGTTGGGTAGGGGGAGGGAATAATTTATCCGCAGCAGCGGCGGGTGGCAAAGGGACAGGGGGCAGTAGCCTGGTGGCCGCCCTGGTGGCCTAGGGGTCCCGCTCTTTCTTAACCTTGATGTCTCCAGCAAGGATGGTGGCGATCTCACCCTGCATGAAGGCCCAGGGAACCGAGGAGCCCACCAGTGGGCACTTGTCACCACTCGGGCAGTACACCTCGCCTGCCGGGCCCTGCGCCTTGATGAACTCTCGTGAGCAGGGAAAGCAGAACTTGTGTCCGGGCACCGAGGGGCACTGGACGAAGTGGGTGTCTTCCAGCCGCTCTCGGCACAGGGTACAGCACAGGGGGGCTCCTGGCGTGGCCCCGGTGCCGCTCCCACCTCCACTGACGGCTTCGGCCCCTGCTGTGGGGCTGACCTCAGCCTCTCCATTGCGGGACACCAGGCGATGCTGAGTTGGAGGCTGGGCAGTGGACGAGGCTGCGGGGCTGGCACCGCCAGTGCGCACGGGGCCCCCGCCCCCGCCGGGGTCTTTGGGTGAGTGGCCCAGGGCTTCGGCCACATTCTTCAGCGCAGCGATGGGTGAGGGCACACCAGGGGTCTCGGTGGAGTAGGGGCCACCGGGGGCTGCCCAGTGCCGCTGCTGCTGCTCCTCGGTGGTCAGCTTACCGGCCGCCTCGCCCTCGGGCTCAGGGGATGCCTTGCGTCGGCGTGGAGTGGGCGCCAGGTTCCGGGATGGGGCTCTTGGGGGCGGCCCGCACAGGGCCGCAGGGGTGGGCTCGGGGTACTGCTGGGGCAGGGCCTCAGCCGGAGCAGGCTCTCGGAAACTGCGGACCCCATCGGTCAGCAGCTCGCCCAGCTGGCGCCATTCCCCGGAGCCGTGCCGGCGCTCATACTCGAGGTACTTGAAGCCCGAGGAGGCCAGGGCCTTGCCAGGCTCCCGCAGAGCGTCATGGAACATTTGGCGCGCCACGGCCAGGACCCCCGCGTACACGTTGCCAGACCCACAGGGATACTCGGTGAAAAGCTTCAGCTCGAACTCGTAGCCCGGAGGGCGGGCAGTGGCATCAAAGGCGAACACTCGCCCCACCAGCCCGTGATCCTTCTTGAAGCGGACGTTGAAGGGGGCGCAGGCGGACAGTGCCAGCAGCTGTTCGCGCACCGCTTTGGGACGCCCGTGCCACTCCTCTGCCCGGCCCCGCATGGCCTCGTTCAGTTCTGCCAAACAGTCGGCATTCCTCTGCTGCTTCTCCTTCTCGAAGTCAGAGCCGAAGGTGGGACGGGCAGGACTCAAGCCGGGGGCCAGCGTTAGGCCTCGGCTTCCCAGGCCGGACACTGCCGCTGCCAGCAGCCCGGGAGGCACTAGGCCGGGCATCGTGCCAAGCAGAGCCCTCCGCGCCCCCTCAGCCACCGCCTCCTCGCGGCCCAACCCATTGGCCAGGCGGGACCCCAGCGTGTACTCTAGGGCGGGAGAGGGCAGCGCGAGGCGGCCCGAGGAGGTGGCTCTGTCATAGCGGTCCTGGCCCGAGACGCCACCACTGGTGCCTGACGGCTGGGGCTGCGCTTGCGGAGGTGGTAGCTGAGGCCCCTGCGCCGCAGCCGCGGCCAGGTCCTTGGTGGACGGGTGCTTGGGGGCCGGGGGGCCGGGCGATCGGCCCTCGGGGAGCACGTGGCTGCGCTTGAGCTGGCGCGCCGCGTCGATGAGCAGCTCGATGCGGTCCGCGCCCTCGAAGTTCACGCAGCCGCGACACACGGCCTCGCT